TGGGAAGAAAACTGATATAATATTGAGTAACTTAGTCATCTCCAACATTTCCTAAAAACAATCTATGTATTGCAAAATATTAAGCATACCACTCTTTGTGTAATTGATTAGCTGCACTGTCACTTCTGTTTGGTTATCAATTGCCTCTCGGATCTTCCTCACAGTAGTTTGATCAGTCTCAGGGCCTTGGAGAAACCTATAAAGGTGGAAACAACAGCAGTTAGTGAATGACTGACTCTAAAAATCAAATAATGGGTTTGATTCTGATATTTACTTAATAAGATAGATTGTATCTAGTATATCCCAATTGATGCAATTGCTTTATTTTCATATATTGTCTACCCTAAAGCCTAGATAAAGTTTGTTACATGTAACTCAAAAATATTATTCATTATTCAGTATGCCCTTTTCTTTTTTTCAGTTTTCTCCGCTTGTTTTCTCATGCTTTAAACATCAATAAATTCAACTCTACAAAATGTTAAATTTCATTTCTGAAATTCACCTGCAATTTCTGCCCAAGATTTCTTCACGGCTATACTCTGTCAGCTCCAGGAAGCTATCAGATGCAAAAATCTGAAAAAGGAAGAAGAAGAAGAGCATTAGCTTCAAACAAATTCGTCTCCAATTCAAGTGCTTAATCGAAATTTGGATCAAAATGAAATGAATCAAAACAAGTAGCTCTTAATTTGTAACTCTTACTATCGGATTATCTGGAAGCCTTGGATCCGTGACGACGAAGTTTTTCTCTATACGTTCAAGCGTAGTAGCGAGGTCGATCCCCTTTCTCATTTCCTTCTGCCTAACTCTGTCGTCCACACTGTCCGGTCTTTCATCCTCATCGCTACTCTCATCATCTTCATCCACCAAAACACTATCATCAAAGCTCTCCGTCTCAGCTGAAGACTGAGCCCGATTTTTCTTGATAATCCTGAATCAAGCAAAATCAATTCAATTCGATGAAATAAAACCCTAATTAAGCAACACAGAAGTTGAACTCGGAGAGGGATCTTGGTCAATTACCCCATTAAAGAAACGCGAATGGATTTTCTTGGTTTCTTCTCTGGCACCTCGCTTATCCGCTGCATAGAGAATCTAGCGCCGCCGTGTGAATTCCGTTTAGGCGGAACCGCCTCGGTTTCCGATTTCCGCCGCACCATAGACGTAGCCGATCTTCCATCTTCTCCGTCGCCTTCTGATTTTCTCGGAAAGGGACGACTCCTTGATTCACTAAGCGCACGCGGTCTCTTCACGGCTTCCACGAGTTCCGTTACAGAAGTTACCGCCATTTCCTTTTGGCGCGCTGCAAAATAAATATTGAAAATATTCGAGCCTAACTAACAGTAACACTTCAGCAGTTCAGTTTATGTTTGTGCAGTGATTAAGTTATAGGTTTTTTCTATATAATTTTTATATATTATTAAATAAATATATATTTAATAACATAAATTTTAAATAATTCAAAAATAATTATTTAAATAAATAATAAATTATAATTATAGAAAAAATTTATATAAAAAATTATTTTTAAATCATTTTTCAAATTAGATAGATTACCACAGAGATCCCACCGTTCGGTGGCTATGGTTTTTGCGGTCTTAACTGACAATCTTAACGTATGTTCCAATCTAGAGGAATAGGAGGGGAATTGAAAGATATACATATCCTTCAGTTCCCCTTTCTTTTCTTCTTTATTTATTTATTTAAATAAATAAATAATTTTTTTTTAATTTTTTAATAATTAAATAATTTTTTTTAATTTTTTATTATCCTCAACCTAAATATAAAACAGCATAAAGCATTTAGAACTTCGACTCTAGTGATATCAAATCACATTGGTTAAAATTACATTTGGATCCCTCAATTATTATACGGACTCTCGATTTGGTCCCTGAACTAAAAAAATTCCTAATTTGATCTCTACTGTTTACCATTTTGATTCTGATTTAATCATTCCGTTAAAAATTGACTAACGTGTCCCATTACTTAACGGCAAAAGATGACAGCATGGCAAAAAAAACAATGATATGGCAAAAAAATCAATGACATGGCAAAAAAAAACCTTAAAATATTTCCTTTTTCCTTTTTTTCTTTTTTTCTTCCTTTGATTTTCCTTTTTTCCCTTTCATCTTCTTCCTTTCCTTTCGCCTTCTGCAAACCCTAACACCTTCTGCAAACCCTAACACCTTCTAACATTAAATCAAAAAATAATACAAACCCAGAATCTCTCCAAATTAGTCACCGCCTTAAATTCTTTCTTTTAACCTACCCAAAAAAACTCAAAAATATCAAGGCATATTTTTCCAAAATTCAAGCTTCTAAACATAAATATTAAAAAAAAAAAAAAGAAATCGAACCCAGAAGATCACTGGGTTCTTGATCGAACCCAGTGATCT